TGTAGAGCATTCTGTGTGTGTTTGTGAAGGGATTGCCACATAGAAAATTAAGTATATTCTTAGCTTCTGCTTAAAATGGAATTTGAAAATTGACATAGTATACATACATTGGCGTATCCCTCATAAAAGCTCACTCCCTCATAAAAGCTCACTTCTTACCCAGTCGCCCCCATTGAAAATTTAGTTAAAAACTACCACATATAGGCTAACCATATTTATAACCCCTCCCTTAATGATCGAGCCCCCCCCCCCCTCCGCCTTCGCGTCCCCTCGGCCTCCACATTTTAAGACTCTAAATATATCACTGTGTGCATATACATAGGCCTATTCGACGATAATCAATGTAGCCTAATTGTTTATTTATATGTTATCTTATAACTTGGTTTCGTAGGTGTTGATACAATCCTATGGATTACACGGAGCTTACCTTTTTCTTGCCGGGCTGATGTTAAATCAATGCGTTGCGGCTGTATTTATTCATTACCAATGGAAAAAGAAGCAACTTCATAGAAGCAGCAGTGAGATCCATTTACTAGAGGGACAAGTCGAAGTAGTAGAAGTGAACCGAAATGGTTCATCAATACTTAGGAAAATTTCTTCAGTGACAAAATTTAGAGAATTAAAAACAATCCCTGGAATGTTTATATTCATTGTTGTTTTTGCAATGTTTGAAGGAACATATCAAGCCAGAATGCCATATATTGTACCAAAGGCAATTGACAATGGTATTGATCCAATGGCAGCTGCAACCGGGTTTTCCATCTTTGGAGCTAGTGGAATAGTTGGCAGACTTTTCCAGTTACTCGTCAATGCTATCACAAACTGTAACGCAATGTCAATCTTTTTCTTCGCCTTATGCTTGAACTGCGTCAGCAATCTCCTCTTGTCATTGACAGCGCAGTACAGTTGGTATATACTTGCTCTAATTTTTGATGGAGTTTCTTACGGACTTCTTTTGCCATATGCATTTGCAATTTTAAGGCAGTTATCTGGACATAGATTATTAGCTATTGCAAGTGGTTGGGGCTGTACTCTTATTGGAGTGATGTCAGTCATATGGGGTGTTTTATACGGTAATGTACATAATTAAATTCCTTGCTAAAATATGTTGTTATTGCAATGTTATTTAGTTGTGAATTTACGTTATAAATACGTGTTAATGTTGCTACAAAAGGTCTTTTTACACTAAACTGTAACTTTATAACCTAAGAAGTTGGTCATGCACGTCATTTACTTTTTTTTTCTTAATTTCAACAGGCCGGTTTTACTACATTTTCGGTTCTTACCAAGAAGTGTTTTTATGGTGCTTCGTGATGGAATGTATCTCAGTTAAGCTCGTCTTATTATCAAGACCATTGCGGGTATTATCAAGACCATTGTCTCTTTTAACCGTGTTAAGCCGGGCACATACCATGTCGGCCGACAATTCATCTCCGCTCCTGTGAGCGCTAGACGACACGACGCCGGCTACTGATCGTCTTTGGCAGTCTGAACGGATAATAAAATGAGACTATCCGTTGTTCGCGCGTCGTGGCATTTGTCAGACCATAGAATCGTGTCCGGCAGTGAGTGCCCGACTTTTCGTGATACAATTTAGAATAACCGACTCGTAGGCCCGTGTGTTGTAAATTTTATAATTTAAACAAATAAATTAGGTCTACACAATTGACAATTTTTCCTCTCACATGAGTAAAGAAAAGTAATAAGCAATTCATTTTTAGAGAGGGAGTAATTTATTGGTTTTTTTTATATTGACTTTCAAACTAGGAATAGAAAAAGATTCTCTCTTTCTTTAGGATGTCATATAGCAATTTTCGAGGTTGTTACCCAACAAGAACCAAAATCACTCATTCATTCCTACTGCTAATCAGATCGATGAGTAAAGACTAAATCTAGCAGCTACAAACGAACATTTATTTAAATATTCATCAGAATAATTATTTCGTCATCAGCAAATTATGCACGAATAATGTATGCTGGGTTCCCATCTGCGTGCGCATACTGTTCCGCCTCACGCTCGCAGTCACAGCTCTAGGTCAGCAGTGTAAAGTTTTTTTCATAATGAAGTTGAAGACAATTTTGGCTTATTTAGCAGTATTGGATGGGCAAAGGATTATATTAAAGTATGAGAAGTCAACCACTACTGTTGTCGTTGTCGTCATGAGTCGTTGTTGTTGTTATTAATTATTATTATAATTATTGTTATTATTAATTCATTAAATTATGACGGATTAAAAACGTACCAGTAATGTAAATTCTCTAGACCTAATTCTTCTTTTTCAAATCAATTCTCCATTTATTTATATTTTTTTGTTCTATATGAATTATAATTGTTTAGGTGGATTGCATAGCTTTATATGCTGACATAAAAAAGTGTACAAAATTAAAGTGAATGTATATGTACTAAATTAAAATTGGTACTGTCATGGGAATAGGCATAGCTATAGCCCCCCCCCCCCCGGATACGGGCCTG